GAATCGAAATCGAAAATTTCGACCAGTTTAAGTAAATTAAGTGTCGTTCCTGTTCACGGAGCACGGACGTCGTCGGACCACCCGTCGACCAGAGCTCGCGAGACAACTATCGATCCACGGCGTACGCGTAAAAACACCCACGAAGCCCGGAAGCTGTGCGAACTACACCGATATTTGGGTTCTCTTATTTTCGCCGTTTTCCTCGATTCCCTTGTCCCGATTTCTCTCTCTCTCTCTCTCTCTCTCTTTCTCTCCCTCTCTTTCTCTCTTTCCCTTATTCTCGACGTTTCTCCCTCCTTTTAATGCGCTTCGATCGCACGTTCTTTCGTGACCTGACGCGTTTCTTCCTCTCTCTCTCTCTCTCTCTCTCTCACACTCGCTCACTCGCTCACTCGATTCTCTTTCTCTCTATTCCTCTCCCGTGTATATACTTTGTTTTGGACACGATAGCTAATAACGAACAGCTAATAACGTTGGGGAGAGTGAACTATTCCAAAGACACGGGCTCCCTCGTATTTTCGTGTAATTCGACTATTTTTGCTTTCTCTCTAGCATTCTCTCTAAGTTATCGAACGACAACCACCCGATGCTCGATGACCATCCCCGGTGTGTGGTATTTGGTGATCTCTCTAAACCCCGAGCCTTGTATTTCCGGTATTATTACACTCGCCTCGGGGTGAGCATAATTTACCCTTACGGCGAGCGTACACGGCGAGCCAGTCAGTTGGAATTCTCCCAAGAGAACACGCGAAGAAACGCGACCTTTCGTCTTGCAGCGCGACTATTTGTCGATTCCTTCGGTCGCGTTTCACACACACAGGCACGCATACACACGGGCTCACGTACATATGCAGGCACACACATACACACTCCATGCACTACACGAAACGAGGCCGGGATCGTCGTCGTTCGCCGTTGCGTATAGCGAACGCGGCACACTACGAATACGTTACGCTTGTCACTGAAACACAGAATCTCGAGGCAGAAAGGATCGTTTCGAACGCATCGAATCGAGATCCATGGCGAGAAGCAGCGCGTATCTTCTATCGACACACTCGCGTTAATCGCAACTGTTCTCGACCGATTACCGATCGCTCGCCCGATCGATCGAGTCACCGAACACGCACGGATCGTACGCCGTGACGTACGTACGATGCACGGGCCGCACTGTATCGAAAATCGACGAGCAAATCCTCGCAAGTTGCAGCGGATATCCCCTTTTTCTTTCTTGTAGCTACGCTCGACAGCTACAAGTGCACTGACAAATCTTCTTGTGACGGGAGTATCCTTCGTCCCATTACGTCGAATTATATTTCTAAGCCGTCGAACTTACCGTCGTCTCGGCTTTTCCTCGCTCGACCTAGCGCTGCTTCTCATTGGCAACTCGCGTACTATGACCACTCGCGGTTTATAGTTTGACCACGATACTGCTCTTGTCCGTTCACGTGCCACGACTTTTCGAACGATGATAAGTTGTAACTGTCGATTCGCGGGCAGTGGCGAGAGTTTCCCGGCCCACGTAAGTTTCGATCGATCTGGAATCGGACGGCCGGCTGGTTATTATTCGCGTTTCTTGGCTGCGCTCGACGGAGCACTCGATCGGAGGCCAGCCGAGCGCGATTCGACGACGCAGCTTCGTGGCTCTGCGTCGCGCGTAACACGATTCGTGCGTGGTGCCGACTTTTCAAACACTGTGGCCCTGCTGCGGCCCACACCATGCCAGCCGTAGT